GCAAGCAAGGAGGTCTAGACTACAACGAGCTATGCCTGTTTCCGGATATGCAATTGCCGGTGGGTTTCAAAGCACCTAAGTTTACCAAGTATGACGGAACTGGCAATCCCAAGACCCACCTTCGGATGTTTGCAAACAAACTGGGGAGACCAATAGACAATGAGAATCTGCCTGTGCGCTTATTTCCCGAGATTCTAGAAGGCGACGCATTAGATTGGTACGCCAATTTGAAGCCTGAGGATATGAGATCTTGGATGGATTTATCGACTGCTTTTGTGAGGCAGAATGAATATAATTGTGAGCTAGCTTCGACGAGGACCACATTGGAGGAAACCAAGAGGAGACCATCGGAGGACCATAAGACGTATGCGAAAAGATGGAGGAAGCTGGCCGCCAAGGTGGAGCCTCCCATGACCGAAAATGAAATTGTTCGCACGTTCATCAAAACTCATGACCCGCTCTACTTTGAAGAGATTTTCCATATGACTGGGTTTTCCTTTGCAGAGATTGTCAATAAGTTGAAAGAGTATGACGAGTTTATGAGAGCAGGCAAGATTGTTAATGTTTCAGCTTTAAAGTCGCAGTTGGAAGCTATGCAAAGCCAAAACAGCAGCAGTAAAAAGTCTCAGTTTAAGAAGAAAGACGAGGAAGCTTCCTTTGTTTGGAACCAAGGTTCTTCTTCCCGGCCTACATACCAACGTAATCCCGTCTACTCACCTCGTTACCTATACCAACCATGCCCTCGACCTGTCTACAATACCACAATCAACCACCCCCGTCCTCAACCAAACTACCCAAACACACCGTCAACGCCATTTCACATTTCCCCACCAAACTTCCAAATTAGACCGCACCCTTCTTTCAATCCAAGACCCATGCCGCCCCCTAACCCAAATCACCAATACCAACAAGCCAGTGATACCCAAAATCCAACCTCATACCGAACCTTTACCAATCTAGGTCGGCCTGTTGACCAGTTATATGAGCAATTGAAAGCTGCTGGGAAGATTGGTACGGTACCCCCTAAGACCTATTCCAAAGAATTTCCCATTGGTTATGATCCTCAGTCATTTTGTGCTTATCATTCGGGAGCACCTGGACATTCAACTGCCAATTGCTGGGCGCTTAAGCATAAAATTCAAGACATGATTGAGTCCGGAGACATAGTCCTAAGGAGGAGGGAGGAACAAGGTCCAAATGTTAGCAAAAATCCTCTTTCTACACACAAGGACACCGTGGGAGTTATTACTATTGATGAAGAGATTGAGGAACCTACACAATTTATTATAGATGAAGCTGAGATAGTAAGGGTCATTGAAGAACCGTTCATATTGGAGGAAGAAGCTCCTGAAATCAAGAAAAATACGAGTCCATTTATTTTGGAAATGGTGCCTTTCGAATGTGAGCCTTCGGAGCTTGTGGTACTTGAATTGCCTGAGCAACCTCCTATTCTTAATCTACAAGAGGTCCCGTGAAATTATAGCGAGCCCACGCTATTAATTGGAGGAGAAAAGGTGCCCAGAAAGGAAGTGGAGGCTATTACTAAATCTGGAAGAATCATAGGAGAACCCGCAGTTGATGAGCCCTCAAAAGTGAAAGAAAATGCTATTCCGACAAAACCAACTGTGACTGATGAAGAGGCCTTCAATTTCCTTAAGATGCTGAAGAAAAGTGAGTATAAGGTGGTCGAGCAATTGGACAAGATGCCCGCTCAAGTTTCTATATTGAATTTGCTTCTAACCTCGAAACTTCATCTAGAAGCTTTACTCAAGATCCTAACTGAGGCTCAAGTGCCTAAGAATATTCCTGTGAATAAATTCACTCATGTAGTCGAACATGTTTTGGCTTCAAATCAAATTTCTTTTTCTGATGAAGATTTGACTTCGAATGGGATTGGACACAATAAAGCATTGTATATCTCAGTCCGTTGTAATGGGAAGTTATTGCCAAGGGTCTTGATAGACAATGGATCTGCTCTTAATATCTGTCCTTGGAACACTTTGGTTAAGTTGGGATTTCAGGAAGCTAAACTTTGGCCATCTGCCATTGTGGTGAGAGGATTTGATGGCACAAAAAGAGAATCAATGGGGAAAGTGGATTTAGTGCTGGAAATCGGACCTGCCCAGTTTCAAGTTATGTGCCAAGTCATGGACTTCTCGAGTGTTTATAATGTTCTTCTCGGACGGCCTTGGATTCATACTTCAGGCGCTATACCTTCTTCACTCCATCAAATGTTGAGATTTGTGGTGAATGGCCAGTTGATTACGATATTTGCTGAGGAAGATTGCACTATGATCGTTAATCCTGCATTGGAAGATGATGGCGATAGAAAAGTTCTGGTTTCCCCTCACCATGTAGCTGACATTGTTTCGGTGGGTAGGGCATCCAAGGACAAGGCGGCAGTAGAAATGAATTTACCTGAAGCCAGCGTTATGATGGCCAAAGAGCTGATTCGAGGAGGTTATGAAATAGGCAAGGGCCTTGGGCGTCACCTACAAGGGGTCTTGGAGCCAATAGAACTTTAAGGAAATAAGGATACCTTCGAATTAGGGTTTCAACCTACTGCCAAGGATAAGAAAGAAATGATGAATCGTAGGAGGGCAGAGAAGGAAGGGAGGCAGCTTATCATGAATATCCCACCATTGTACTGTACTTTTCCTTACCCATCAGAGGTGATTAGATCTGAAGTAGACCCGATCGAGAAAGTGGAGGTTGGATTATTTGAGTTATTTGTGGGGGTTATTTCTGAAGGGGAGCCGTTGGAGCACCCAGGATTTCCAGAGGTGCCTATTGAAGCAATGAAGAACTGGACCAGTGATCTCCTTCCCTCCTGCAGGGAATTTCGGTAAATTAGGGGATTGCCTTTGGTCGACATGAGACAAATCGTTCATACTACTTATCTTTTGTCTTTCAAGTTTGTAAATAGTTTTTAATCAAATGTTTTCCAATGCAAGTCTTGCATTAAATTTCTTGTTAAGTAGCATGTCATGATGTTATCCTTTACTTTGAATTTCAATGAAATGCACAGTGTTTATTGTCCAAATTGTTTTAACTTACTTACTATTGTATTTATTTTATTCTTTTTCAGATGGCCAAAAATAAAACACATTGACCCTTTGGATATCACTATTCTGGAATTTGATGATTGTGATCTCGATATCCCTCACGACTTTGAAATTTTGGAATCCGAAATTTAAGACAAGAGCGATAACGAGGAAGAATCTGAGTCTTTATTAAAGGATTTTGAACAGTATGAGGAGAAATCCAAACCGAACTTAGAAGAAACAGAAGTTGTTAATATTGGCACTGAGACTGAGGTTAAGGAGATAAAAATTAGCATTCACTTGAATAAGAAACAGAGAAAAGAAATGATTGAGTTTTTGACCATGTTTCAATATGTGTTTCCCTGGTCCTATAATGATATGCCTGGAATTTCAACAGATATAGTGGTTCATCGATTGCCAACCAATCCGAATTTTCCACCAGTGAAACAAAAACCTCGCAAGTTTAAGCCAGACATGAGCCTCAAAATTAAGGAGCAAATCGAGAAGCAGCTCAATGCTAGAATCATTATGGTGTCTCATTATCCCATTTGGCTTTCAAACCCTGTACCTGTTCCAAAGAAAAGTGGAGAAGTGCGAGTCTGTGTCGATTACAGGGATCTTAATAAATCCAGCCCGAAAGATGATTTTTCGTTGCCGAACATTCATATTCTTCTGGACAATACTGCAGGGCATGAGATTGAATCATTTGCTGACTGTTTCGCTGGATATCACCAGATCTTAATGGCAGAGGAAGATAGGGAGAAAACTGTTTTTATCACGCCATGGGGGACATTTTGCTACCGAATAATGCCATTTGGATTGAAAAATGCAGGCGCCACTTACCAAAGGACCATGACCACCCTGTTCCATGATATGATTCATAAGGAGATGGAGGTTTATGTGGACGACATCATCATCAAATCCAAGATAGCGGAGGATCATCTGATTGATTTAGAAAGGTTATTCGAAAGATTGAGAAGATATGATTTGAAGCTAAACCCTGCAAAGTGTGCATTCGGGGCCTCTGCTAGAAAGTTATTGGGATTCATTGTCAGTAAGAAGGGTATCGAGATAGATCCGGCAAAGATTAAAGCCATTCGTGAAATGCCAGTACCAAGAACGCAAAAGGACGTAAAGAGTTTTTTAGGGAAGATTAACTTTATCGGGAGGTTCATCGCTCAGCTGACCCATACGTGTGAGCCTTTGTTCAAATTATTGAAGAAAAATGTGTCATTGTATTGGAGTGGAGAATGCCAGCAGGCGTTTGATAAGATCAAGGACTATTTATTGCACCCTCCAGTTTTAATGCCACCCAAACCCGGGCGACCTTTGATCATGTATCTATCGGTGTTGGACGAAGCTATGGGGTGTGTATTGGGACAACACTACGAATCGGGGAAGAGGGAGCAAGCCATCTACTACCTCAGTAAGAAGTTCACTGCGTATGAAGCCAACTATTCTTTTCTTGAGAGGAGATGCTGTGCTTTAGCTTGGGCCGCTCAAAAGTTGAGGCATTACTTGCTCAGCCATACTACTTACCTCATTTCCCGCTCCGACCCTTTGAAATATCTGTTGGGAAAGCCTATGCCGACAGGACGTATGGAAAAATGGCAGATGATTCTTTCAGAGTTTGATATTATTTTTACTACGCAAAAGGCAATCAAGGGCCAGGCTGTGGCCGATCATTTGGCTGAAAATCCGCTGAAAGATGATTATCAACCGTTTCACACTTATTTTTCGGATGAGGAGACCCTGTTCGTGGGTATAGCAGAAGATATGAATGATCAATGCCCGGAGTGAAGGTTGTTCTTTGACGGTGCCTCAAATTCCTTCGGGGCCGGTATTGGAGCTGTTCTAGTATCGCCTGAAGGAAAGCATTACCCTGGTTCGGCCAAACTCCGATTTTTCTGTACTAACAATATGGCTGAATAAGAAGCGTGCATTTTTGGGTTAAAGATGGCGTTAGAAATGGAGATTAAGGATTTACTAGTGTTCAGCGATTCAGATTTGCTTGTACATCAGACTCTCAAGGAGTAGATCACTCGGGATTCAAAGATCTTGCCTTATCATTGCAACTTACTGGAGTTAGCAAATAAGTTTAGGAGTTTGGAGTTTCGGCATATTCCCCGTGTCAGAAATGTCTTTGCTAATGCAGTGGCCACTTTATCTTCAATGATTCAACATCCAGATGAGTTGGTAATTGAACCTATCCAGATTCATCTACAAGAAAAACCCGCTCACTGCCTAGTTGTGGAAAAGTCTTCCGATGGCCGTCCCTGGTACAACGATATCAAGAAATTTCTCAAAACAGGGTCCTATCCCCCTGGGGCCGATACAACTGCTAAAAGCTTCTTGCGCAGATTGTCTTCCAAATTTTTCCTAAACGGAGAAGTGGTATACAAAAGGACGTCAGACTTGGGCCTTCTAAGGTGTGTTGATGAAGACGAAGCAGAATACCTGATGAAAGAAGTGCATAGTGGAGTATGTGGATCACATATGAATGGCCATTTATTAGCAAAGAAGATTATGAGGACCGGATATTTTTGGCTTACTATGGAGCATGATTGTGTAGTTTTCGTTAGGAAATGCGTCAAGTGTCAATTGCATGGAGATGTTATGCACACTCCCCCTACAGAATTACACAGTATGACTGCTCCCTGGCCATGTTCGATGTGGGGTATGGATGTAATTGGAGCAATTGACCCCCCCCGCTTCAAATGGGCATCGATTTATTCTGGTGGCAATTGAATACTTCACCAAGTGGGTCGAAGCTGAATCTTATAAGCATGTGACTAAAAAGGTGGTGGCAGACTTTCTAAGGAAGCACATCATTTGTCGTTTTGGAATACCAGAGACATTAATCACTGACAATGCCAAGAATCTCAACAATGATATGGTAGATGGATTGTGTGAACAGTTCAAAATCAGGCGTCGGAACTCCTCTATTTATAGACCACAGATGAATGGAGCTGTTGAGACCACGAATAAGAACTTGAAGAAGATAATCCGTAAGATGATTGAAAGACACCGTGATTGGCACGAGAAGCTCCCTTACGCATTAATGGCATATAGAACTGCTATTCGGACCTCTATTGGGGCAACTCCCTACAACCTCATGTATGGGATGGAAGCAGTATTGCCAGCTGAGGTCGAAATCCTTTCATTGCGCATTTTAATGGAGGCCAAGCTAGATGAGGCTGATTGGGTTAAACAACGTCATGAGCAGTTGTCTTTAATCGACGAAAAGCGACTAAGCGCCATTTGTCATGGTCAATGCTATCAAAAAAGGGTAGCCCGTGCTTACAATAAGAAGGTCAGACCACGGATATTCACAGAAGGAGATAAAGTGCTGAAACATATTTTGCCAGTACAAGAGGAAGCTAAGGGGAAATTTGCACCAAATTGGCAAGGCCCTTTTATTGTCCAGAAAGTTTTGCCCGGAGGAGCACTCATTCTTGCAGAAATGGATGGGCAAATGTTCCCTCAACCAATTAATTCGGACATGTGTAAGAAATTTTTCATATGATACATGAAATTTTCCTTTTAGGGTCAATGTAACGAATGGAATGAAAAGTTAGGCATTCTTCCTTTCCAATCAAGTATTCTATCCCTAGTTATCCCTTTTTGAGCCTTCAGAGTAAATCATTTCGTTTGGCAACCACTGAGAATTGTAAACCCCACACTGGGGCAAGTTTTGAGTTGAAAAAGTTAAGAAAAAGGGGAGGGGTTTCAAAAAGGTAAAAGTGAAAAATGAAAAATGAAAGAAAAGAGAACCTCGGTTAAGCATAAACTGGGGCAAATTTTGAAAATTTCAAAAGAATGGCAGAAGGCCAAAAAGAAAAGAGGGAGAGGAAAATGAAAGAAAAGATAGCCTCAATTGAGGATAAACTGTGGCAAGTTTTGATTTAACTCTAAGATAGGGTTGGTGCAACAATGCGATCTCAGATTATTTAAACCACTGTTAGAATCCGCTTTCAAACCTTAACTTTTCTAAATACCCCACCTGACCCCATTACAAAAGTCTAAAGTCCTGATTTCTGTTCGTTATATTGCCTTTTTAGGACAATTTCTAATCAAGTGGCACATGATGTCAAAAAAAAAACACCTTCACCTGTTTTGCAAGGGAAGGATTATTATACTGATGCCATTATTTTTCAAAACGCATTTCTGAATTAGTGCGGGTGGTAGACAAGATTTGTTTGTTAGGTGAAAACCCGTAAGGGCACCTCAAAAAAAAAAAGAAAAAAAAAAGAAGAAAAGAAAAGGGAAAAGAAATGATGAAAAAGAAGAAAAGAAAAGAAAAGAAAAAAGAAAAGGAAGAATAAAATAAAAAGGATGGGAGCAACCTTAGTGAAAACCCGAAAGGGCGCTGAGGTAAGGGTTTTGCAAACAAGAGTGAGTTTGGATCTGAAAAGCTGGTGACTTAGTTCATTGGAATTTCTCCTCACATTGTGGTTCTATTTGTCAAGCATTGAACTTCCGAAGATTGATATCCAAAGGGTCAAAAGTGACATTTAGTTCGAGAACTCAAATGTTCGATCTATCAAACACAAGCTTTTGAATTTGAGTGCATAAGTTTATTTATTTGAAATGATTTTTCATTCAATAAAAGGGGATGGTTGTGTTCATATTATTAGAATTTTCATCATTATATGCAATTAGAATATTTTTCATGTGTTTCATGGTCCCATTAGTCTTTCTCGTTTTATCAATGGCAATCCCTATAATGTATCGAAGGTAAACGGATATTAAATGATATGTCGGGCCAAGTATGAGAAATTATGGAAGTTTGATATGGTTCGCAGGGCAGGGTTGAAGTACTCACTACGTCAACAAAGAAGTCCAAAATACTCATGTTTACACATCTTTTGAAGAAAGGGTTGATCGAATGGTGGCGGTGTTATCTATCCTTATTTCTTTCTTGTAGGTCCGACAGTTCAATCGCATTACACTAGGGCAATTTTTAGAAGAAATTGTTTGTCTCTCCTTTTGAAACTCTACAAAAGTCTTGCACAATTGACCAATTGAAGGCAGGCTCGGGTATTCATCCCACTGACCAATTGCAGGCAGGCTCAGGTGTTCATCCCATTGACCAATTGACCAATTGAAGGCAGGCTCGGGTATTCATCCCACTGACCAATTGCAGGCAGGCTTGGGTGTTCATCCCACTAACCAATTGACCAATTGAAGGTAGGCTCGGGTATTCATCCCACTGACCAAAAGGAAAGCAGGCTCGGGTATTTATCCCACCGACTTTCTAATGTTTTAATAATACAAGTAAGTATTTGGTGTCTACGTCTTTGTCTCGAGTTTCTTCCAAATTCAGACAAAGAGGGGCAAGCTGTAGACACCAAATTTTTAGTCTATTTTTATTCGCTATTATTTTTCATGTTAGTTATTTATTTTTTTTGTCTCTTTTTATTTTCATTTTTTTAAGACACTTTGGCGCAAAATTCATCAGAAAAGAGGAAAAAATTACTCACAAAAATATACTTTAATTTTTTAGATTCAATTATAGGATTTTGTTGCGTTTTAGCTTCAATTACAAGTTAACATTGTTTGTTCACTTAAATTAAATGTTAGTTCATAAAAAAAAAAAAGAAAGAGACTCACGCGCGCGTGCTAGGCACGCTCGCTGCTTCTCCTTGATATCATATTAGCAGAAAATAAAGTCGCAAGTTTGCAGCTGCATTTTTTCAGCTATTTTTCTTGTTTTTTTAACTCCCTTCGATCATGTTAGTACTGTTACACCTGGCTTTCATCGACAACAAAAAAAAAATTAGAAGTTGAGGCCAATCCGATGGCTGAGAGAGAAACGGTGACCTGAAGCTGTTTATGAACCATCGAGATGAGGTTTTTAGGGTTGGAGTCTGATATAAAAAGGGAGCTAAGGGTTTAGAGGGTTGAGAAAAAGAATTGGCGGCTGCATAAGCGAAAAACAGAGAGACCGAAAGAACCAGAAAACTGAGAGGAAAAAGGCTGTGAGAGGAGATTGAGGGAGGTTACGGGTATAAAGAAAAACTGGAAGAAGAGAGTGAACAAGAAGGAAGAAATTCAGGAACTGAAGTGCCTTCACCCACGGGAAGCTACTTCCACCGACCTTCAAAGCTGCTTCCTTTGCTGTCTAGGTATACGGAGCTTTGCCCACTTCCTCAAAAATCCATTTGATGTTGTTTTCTTTTCCTAAAATCTGTGCTTAGATTGAGGTTCTGGTATGGTGGCTAGTTGTGTGATTGATATGACAGGGCAAGAACTTATTGCAAGTTTTTATGCCTTTGCTGCATTTTCTTTTCTGTCGCACATGGCAGTTGTTGCTAATAGGTGGTTGATAAGTGATTTGTCGGGGTTTATCTTAACAATGTTAGGAAGTTGTAATATTAGAGGGTTTGGGGTAGTAAATGGGGGGTTTCGTGGGACTGATTTCGCATAAACATGCTCCAAATGAGTGAGAAAACAAAGAAAGTTTCCAACTTTGTGTGATTTGTATCTGAAATTTTGTGTGAGAAAGTATTGTTGTTCATGCTCTGTTCCTTTGGACTGGTAGAAAGTATGGCTAGCTAGTCATTTTGCTGAACTTTTTGGTTTTGAGTGAAGCCTGTGATTAGTGTGTTGTTTAGTTAGTTTATTCAGTTAAACGAAACAAGTTGCGAAAGAAAATTTTCAGATTGGGATACTCCTGTGTTTTGACTCTTTTTGGGTGTTTGAATCCCAGTTTTTATGTTGAGAGTTGAAAACTATACTTGTTGATATCATGGCTTGACCTTAGAGTGTGTTTGGCTGACATTTAAGTGTAGAATAATTTTTGCTTTAACAAGCTTGTAGCTTTCGGTTTCGTTGTAGCAATTTTGATAAAATTCGATCTTTTGGGTTGCTGAAGTTGAAGTGTTTTAATGTTCTTGTCGTTATTTATTGTTTGACTGTGATTTCATGGATATGTTTGCTATCAAAGCAGTTTGTTATCGTGTATGAAACTAAAAAGGATGAATTGCTGCAATACGGTGAATCCATTATAGAGGTAGACTGTCTGCATTATAAGTAAAAGAACCTCAGTTGCTCTAAAGGAACTTTCGGCCGGGTTTATGTTCATGTCCAAATGATCAGTTGCTTTCTTTGCTTTATTTTTAGTCAGTTGCTGAATCAGTTAATGTGTTAAGGCCTCGTGGGAATACATTTCGGTTGAGTGAAAAATGGCATGAACGTATGTTTCTGCTTCATGCTAAGTTTCTTTGCTGCATTTTTGTTATTCTTGTTTTCTTGGGCCTGGATCATCTCGTTTGGGATAGTTAGGGGTAGGCATCTATGTTTAAGCTATGTTAGGATTTATGTTTGCAGATGTGTGAGTTTGATTGATGAATAATGAAGTTTTGCACATTGTTCTCGGCATTTCATCCATGCTAGTATGAAGCGGCAAAATGCGCAGCAGAGCAAAGGCTGCTGCATCTGTTTTGCTGTTTTCTTCTCCATGACCACTCACCAAGCCTTGGCCATCCTAATTTGATAGTTAATTTGGTGTGGAAAGGGGCAGTGATTGATTGGTGTTGAGTTTGCATGTTGGAGTCTTTAAAACACTTGAATCATGTTCGAATACTTTGCTGGAAAATAAACAATTAGTTTTGCCGAACCATTTTTGCATGTCTTTTCCAGATTTTTTGCACTAGGTCTTGCTAAGTTTTCTGCTTGTTTGAATGGTGGTAACTATGAAGTTGGTTGTTTAGTCTGAATTTGTGATGTTGGTTTGGAGATATCTAATCAAAGTTGTGCTCAAGAAATCTGGGTTTGAGGGAAATGTGCAGCAGATTTTCTTTTTCGGTTGCTAGAGCATATGAAGTAGTTGCAGAAGCTTGATGTCATTCGTAGCTTGCATGAACTTGCATGAAAATTTTTTGAAAATTGTACTTTTGCCCACATGTTCCTCCTCATGCTACTAAGGCCCTATTGTGTTCCAATTTATTGCAGTTGAGTCCTAGAGTAATTGCATTTTGAACCATTACTTGGTCTTGTTTTTTGTTCTTGGACCCTTGAAGTTCCCAAAATGTTTAATTGGACTTGAGTGCTTGGTTAATATTTGCAATTGGGTCCTTGGGCGTATTTCCTATTTTTAGGAATTTGATCAATAATTTACTTTCTTGGAAATTATGCATTATTTGATTTCATTTAAGTCGTAATTGGGAGGAATTTGGTGATTTTGTTTATACTTTACTATTTAATTGGCGTCTTGACCTTTTCTTTTATTTTGGAGGGTAAATAAGTAATTTCACCCCATTAGGGCATCAACTCAACGGAGGTACACTCTATCTCTTATTTTTGACTTTA